CTTTATGCACCAAGAGCTTGTAACACTCCAAAGAGAAAGGAAAAATTGAAATCGCATCATATGACCCCTTTAACGAATTATAACAATGCAATGAAGTGAAAACGACAGCCAGTTTTTAAAGAGATTCTATGTTTCTGACGCAAGCGAATAAAATAATCTTTTCCGAAGACAAGATCATCGTGATTAGCTGTTCTGTCATAAGCGACAAGAGCGAATCAAATAATAGGATACAAACGGGCTGATAAGGTCAGAGTAGTGTGATGGCCAGCTTGTCCCTAGACACGGTTCTAATAACTTTTACCTGAGAAGATTTTGCTGCTTCATTTCGGAAGATTAACTTTTCCCTTCTTTATTCTTCATAACCCGAGAATAAAGTGTGACGACACATACCTGGAGTTACGCCGCCTAAACGGTCCAGTGAAGTATAGGTATATATTGTATAAGTATATATTGAAAGGCTGCGCGTTCGGCTGAACGCATATGCTGAGCCGCTTCAGACAGCGCACCAGTAGCGCTTCAACGCACGAAAACACACACAATTATGTCAAAATGCGCGGTTTTGGCACCAAGAGCTTGTAACACTCCAAAGAGAAAGGAAAAATTGAAATCGCATCATATGACCCCTTTAACGAATTATAACAATGCAATGAAGTGAAAACGACAGCCAGTTTTTAAAGAGATTCTATGTTTCTGACGCAAGCGAATAAAATAATCTTTTCCGAAGACAAGATCATCGTGATTAGCTGTTCTGTCATAAGCGACAAGAGCGAATCAAATAGGCTAATAGGATACAAACGGACTGAAAAGGTCAGAGCAGTGATGGCCAGCTTGTCCCTAGACACGGTTCTAATAACTTTTACCTTGAGAAGATATTGCTGCTTCATTTCGGAAGATTAACTTTTCCCTTCTTTATTCTTCATAACTCGAGAATGTGGCGACACATGCCTGGAGAGTTACGCAGCAGAAACGGTGCAGTGAAGTATAGTTTGAAAGGCTTCACGTTCGGCTGTAACTTATACACTGAGCCGATTCAGACAGCTCACCAGTAGCGCTTCAACGGATGAAAACACACACAATTGTCAAAATGCGCGGTTTTGACAAGTTACCTTGTAAACGTAGTCTTAAATGAGTTATAAAGTCTTAAATTACCATAAAGAGTTAGGAAGTCGCTGATTAACTTTTGTAGCTTGAATAAAGATTAATATGTAGGCTATAGTTTATGCATATATAATATAGTTTATGTGAAGATTGGTTTAAAATCACTTAAATTAAAAGTTATATATTTCAGAGCCTATTAAGTATATGAAATGCAACAAATGTAATTGTGCTAAAACAGCTTGCATTCAGTTTATGCTAAATGTTTTTTCAGATTTTGAGGTAAAATATGACCTGGAGATATTTGTGTGAAAATCACATCGAGGTCCTTACAATTGTCCTCAAACTGATGTGCTCTGGTGCAGTGGTTTTCAATCCTGTTCCTCGGGACCCACTGCTCTGCACATTTTGCATGTCTCCCTTATCTGACACACTCATTTGAGTTCATGGAGCTCTTTCCTAATGAGCTGATGATCTGAATCAGGTGTGTAAATTAGGTAGACATGCAAAATGTGCAGAGCTGTGGGTCTCGAGGAACAAGTTTGAAACCCACTGCTCTGGTGTACTTACTGTA